ATATCCCCTTTACCATTTTTTATTGCATCTGTTTGATTCTTATCTCTTTTCTTTTTAGTCTTGCTAGTGGTCTATTTTTTTTTTTTTTTTTGATCTTTTCAAAAGACCAACTCTTGGATTCATTGATTTTTTGAAGGGTTTTTAATGTCTCTATCTCCTTCAGTTCTGCTCTGATCTTAGTTATTTCTTGCCTTCTGCTAGCTTTCAAATTTGTTTGCTGTTGCTTCTCTAGTTCTTTTAATTGTGATGTTAGAGTGTCAATTTTAGATCTTTCCTGCTTTCTCTTTTGGGCATTTAGTGCTATAAATTTCCCTCTACACACTGCTTTAAATGTGTCCCAGAGATTGTGGTATGTTGTGTCTTTGTCCTCATTGGTTTCAAAGGACATCTTTATTTCTGCCTTCATTTCATTATGTACCCAGTAGTCATTCAGGAGCAGTTCGTTCAGTTTCCATGTAGTTGTGGTGTTTTGAGTGAGTTTCTTAATCCTGAGTTCTAATTCAATTGCACTGTGGTCTGAGAGACAGTTTGTTGTGATTTTTGTTCTTTCACATTTGCTGAGGAGAGCTTTACTTCTAACTATGTGGTCAATTTTGTAATAAGTGTGATGTGGCACTGAGAAGAATGTATATTCTGTTGATTTGTGGTGGAGAGTTCTGTAGATGTCTATTAGGTCTGCTTGCTGCAGAGCTGAGTTCAACTCCTGGATATCCTTGTTTACCTTCTGTCTCATTGATCTGTCTAATATTGATGGTGGGGTGTTAAAGTCTCCCATTATTATTGCATGGAAGTCTAAGTCTCTTTGTAGGTCTCTGAGGACTTGCTTTATGAATCTGGGTGCTCTTGTATTGGGTGCATATATATTTAGGATAGTTAGCTCTTCTTGTTGAATTGATCGCTTTACCATTATGTAATGGCCTTCTTTGTCTCTTTTGATCTTTGTTGGCTTAAAGTCTGTTTTATCAGAGACTAGGATTGCAACCCCTGCTTTTTTTTGCTTTCCATTTGCTTGGTAGATCTTCCTCCATCCCTTTATTTTGAGCCTATGTGTGTCTCTGCACATGAGATGGGTCTCCTGAAAACAGCACACTGATTGGTCTTGACTTTATCCAGTTTGCCAGTCTGTGTCTTTTAATTGGGGCATTTAGCTTGGTTACATTTAAGGTTAATATTGAGTGAATATGATCATTCAATATTAAATTGAGTTAATATGAGTGAATTTGATCCTGTCATTATGATGTTAGCTGGTTATTTTGCCTGTTATTTGATGCAGTTTCTTCCTAGTTTCGATGATCTTTACAATTTGGCATGTTTATACAAGTTCTAGGGAACATGTGCACAACGTGCAGGTTTGTTACATAGGTGCATGTGTGCCATGTTGGTTTGATGCACCCATCAACTCATCATTTACATTAGGTATTTCTCCTAATGCTGTCCCTCCCCCATCCCCCTACCCCCCAGCAGGTCCTGGTGTGTGATGTTCTCCTCTCTCTGTCCATGTGTTCTCATTGTTCAACTCCCACTTATGAGAACATGCAGTGTTTGGTTTTCTGTCTTTGTGATATTTTGCTGAGAATGATGGTTGCTAGTTTCATTCATGTCCCTGCAAATGACATGAATTCATCCTTTTTTATGGCTGCATAGTATTTCATGGTGTATATGTGCCACGTTTTCTTTATCTAGTCTATCGATGATGGACATTTGGGTTGGTTCCAAGTCTTTGCTATTGTGAATAGTGCTGCAGTAAACATACGTGTACATGGGTCTTTATAATAGCATGATTTATAATCCTTTGGGTATATACTCAGTAATGGGAATGCTGGGTCAAATGGTATTTCTTGTTCTAGATCCTTGAGGAATTGCCACACTGTCTTCCACAATGGTTGAACTAATTTACACTCCCATCAACAGTGTAAAAGCCTTCCTATTTCTCCACATCCTCTCCAGCACCTGTTGTTTCCTGACTTTTTAATGATCGCCATTCTAGCTGGCTTGAGTTGCTATCTCATTGTGGTTTTGATTTGCATTTCTCTGATGACCAGTGATAATGAGCATTTTTTCATATGTCTGTTGGCTGCATAAATATCTTCTTTTGGGAAGTGTCTGTTCATATCCTTTGCCCACTTTTTGATGGAGTTGTTTGTTTTTTTCTTGTAAATTTAAGTTCTTGGTGGATTCTGGATAGTAGCCCTTTGTCAGATGGGTAGATTGCAAAAATTTTCTCCCATTCTCTAGGTTACCTATTCACTCTGATGATAGTTTCTTTTGCTCTGCAGAAGCTCTTTAGTTTAATTAGATCCCATTTGTCTATTTTGGCTTTTGTTGCCATTGCTTTTGGTGTTTTAGTCATGAAGTCTTTGCCCATGCCTGTGTCCTGAATGGTATTGCTTAGGTTTTCTTCTAGGGTTTTTTATGGTTTTAGGTCTTACATTGAAGCCTTTAATCCATCTTGAGTTAATTTTCATATATGGTGTAAGGAAGTAATCCAGTTTCAGCTTTCTGCATATGGCTAGCCAGTTTTCCCAGCATCATTTATTACATAGGTAATTATCTCCCCATTTCTTTTTTTTTTGTCACGTTTGTCAAAGATCAGATGATTGCAGATGTCTGGTGTCATTTCTGAGTCCTCTGTTCTGTTCCATTGGTCTATATGTCTTTTTTTATACCAGTACCATGCTGTTTGGGTTACTGTAGCCTTGTAGTATAGTTTGAAGTCAGGTAGCATGATGCCTCCAACTTTATTTTGATTTGTACATATTTATAGATTATGTTTTATAAGATGATATAATATGAATTATATCCCAAATAACTACTTTTTTATGATCATATAATTTTTGAATAAAATATAAGGTGTCACTAACACTTTGTAAAACATAGGGTATCTGAATTAATTTTTCCCCATTTTTGGGTGAGTACAGCTGTTCCATCTGGTTTGCTCATTTATTCACTAATTCAACAAATATGCCTTGACTTTCTGTTACTTACTGGGCTTATTCTGACCAAAATATTTCCCTTTGGAGGAAGGGCTTTGGCTGTTTGATAGAAACTCTCTTCATTGATCTATTTAGAACCAAGGTTCCAAGGAGTAGAAAGGAATGTACTAACATCTTTGAGAACAGATTTCTGGACATGGATAATCACTCAACTAAAGAATACTAGGTTGAGTAAAGATAAAGGCTATTTAAATACTTGAAGTGAGTTTCAATAGTAGATTATCTTCCTGTCTGTGGGCCAGACACTCTGTGATTCCCTACATAGACAAAATATCTTTCAGTCTTCCTTGTAATTCCAAGTTAGTGGCTATTACCATTCACATACATGATTACTTAATTAGGACACAGGAACTGGAATGTGTAACCACCTCTGCGTGGAAAGAGGGTTAGAATTTATATAGGTGCATAAAACCTTTTAAAAACTGTTAAAAGCAAAGATATGGAGAATACAAATGTAAAGTCAGATGAGAAACCCAATTCTAGTCAAACCCAACTAGATTAAAGGTCTGTATAGGGAAGATATTCCAATCCATGTGCCATTTCAAGATAATAGATGTTTTGGTTCTCTATTGCCATGTGAGAAACCACCCCACAACTTGTTGGCTTAGAACAATCATAGCCATTTATTCTCGCTCAAAATTCTCTACATGAGCTGGGCTCAGCAGGTGGATCCTTTGCTCCCATGTGTTGTCAACCACTTCAGTAATAATCAAGATGCTTGAATCGCTTGGAATGTCTAAGATTACTTACTCAAATACTTTGTGAATGGTAATGGCTATCAGCTAGGAGCTCAGCTGGGGTATTAATTGTAGTGCATCAGTTATCCTCCACATGGCCTCTCCATATGGCCTAGACTTCCTGCAGAGTGGCATCTGGAATTCAGTGGGAAATGTGTGAAAATAGAAGTTGCATATATCATATGTTTATACAGCATTATTTCCCACTGCATTGTATTGGTCAGAGCAAATCACAGGGCTAACTCAGATTCAAAGGGAGAAGCAATAAACTTTACCTCTGGCTTGAAAGAGTGTCAAATAATTTGTGGTTATTTTAAATCTGCCACAATGTAAATGAGTGAAGTTGGACAGGCATGAGATAATAAAGAGTGGTAGGGATTATGCAAATGATAGAACTTTTACCTCCTGTAGAGTTTAGAATTCAGATAGTTAAGAAACAGTGTTTAGTCCATACATAATATGTTTATTGTTTTAATTTTACCATTATCAGCTTGTTTGTAAGCCTTGATCTAGGAGGTTTTGTGAGGTATTGTCTATACAGATAACCTAAGAAATGTCAAGAGCTAGGATAGTAGAAAAAGTGGTTTGAATGCATCCTGATAGAATTATGAATACAAAAAAACTGAAATGGAATTTTGTTTTGATTAAATATAGAGGGTATTTATTTCTTCATTCACAGAATAGACCAGTGGTCTAAAAAGTGGGATATTCAAAGTGATCCATGAGGGAGAAAACAAAATATTAGAGATTTCATTAATATTTATTTCATCCTTCCTCAAAATCCATTTTTCTTTATGTATTGTAATATTCACAATATGTTCAATTAGTATACTACTTGTGTATACCTTATAAATCACTATTTCTTGGGAAATGCATGCTCAAAAATTTTACTGATAGCTCTGTGTGATATGCTCATTAGGGTTTGTAGATCATTGGTTTAAGAAATGAAAATAACCAATGTAACATCAAGAAATTAATCAAATTTTCCCCTCATGGAAGAAAATTTTCTTGTCCTAATGTATGGTTAATGTTGAAGTACAGAGCTGTGCATAACAAAGACAAAAAGGTAACTCTTCCTCTAGGAGAAAAAAGATATTTATTATGTTTATAGAAAAAGATAACAATTTCACAGGTAAATTATCCAATTTTATTGTTAGGAAAACAACAATGTCCTTTCATATAAGTTACATTCTCCTTACCTGGAAGGCCTACATGGCTATATTTGCATGTGGTGATTATCGGAACACTCATTGTTATATTTGAGCCTGTAGTCAAATATTCAAGCAAGAACCCTTAATGTCTAAAATCGATTTATTAAGCACTTGATTGTCCAGATACTATTCTTACTCATAATTTTATTAGCAGTTTTTTTTTTTTTTTAAATACCAAACTCCTTAAAAGCATCCAGCCTTTTCTTTTTTGGAACCCTTGTCCCCATGTGACATTTTGAAATTCCTGTTTATTGTCTTCAGTTGTGGGTGCTGGAGCTCTTCAGAAAGTTGCTAAAAAGCATCTGCTATTTAGGTTTTTTGTTTCTTTGGGAGCACAGCACTTTTTCTTTTTTTTTGTTGGTCTCATTTCCATTCTGTGCTTGACCTCAGCAAAGTCTCTTAGTATCTTTGTCCTTGGACTCCTTATCTGTGAAAAGTCATGATTGGAAAAGTTAATGTCTAAGTTCCTTCTTAAATCCAGTAATAAAGGATTTGTCTCTATAGGTCTCACATTTAATAAGCACCTGAAGAAATCAGATATCTCCTGACAATTACATGATTTGTATAGACCATTTTGAAAGGTGCCATGAGGCCCAGAAAAACTTCATTAGCAAGCTGGGGCAGCCAATGTGAAGTTACAAAAGAAGGACCAGAGTTCACAGTACACTGTGTTGTGTGTGGGTGAGGGGAAATTATGGTATTGCTGATCAAAGCAGTAAAAACACTGACTTCTGGCAGAATTGACTAGTTGGACATGAGAATCTAACTTGGAATTAGAGCAGAAGTCATAGTCTTGAAAACTCTATATAAAGTGCTCTATATAGAGTAGGTTTGTAATGAATAATTAATAGAACAAAGTTGGAAAAAGTAAAGCCAGGAATAAGGGTAAGGCAGTTAAACCCTGTTAGGTCAGGATGTATGTAAATAAATTCTGAGTGTCTGTATCATTTTGGATCCTACAAAAAGTAGGTGATACAGTGAAATTCAGCTGCATTTTTTGGGGGAAATGTCTGTGAAGGATCAGGTGGGGAGCCAGAGGAGGAAGAGGAGACTTCACCCCACCATGCAGGTTTGACACTTGTGCAAGAGAGAGTGAGGAAGGAGCACAATGCAGGGAGAGTCTCAGTCTAGAGACTTTATAATAGCTCAAAGAAAGTGTTGACTATGCTGATGAGACATCCTCAAGTAAGAGGCACTTTGGTTGAAAGAATCCGGTGTCTCACAGAATGGGCCTGCATTAGTATTTTCATCTTGCTCAGCCGTTGACTGGGAGTGGCCCATAGAAGGTGGAGCCTTGGCATGAATGTGGGGAATAAATTCAAATGAGAAAGCAAGAGCTCTGTGCAGAATGTTTTCAAGGCTGCCACAGTATCCAGTGGATTTCAATATGCCCCCTTTAGGAGCTAAAGAGGCTTGAATAATATAGGACATACTCCATTGTGATAAAGACTCTAGACAGTAGACATTTCTGAGCTCGGTGGGGAAAGATTTTTAAAAGTTCATTCTAGGCTGGGTGCGATGGCTCATGTCTGTAATCTTAGCACTTTGGGAGGCTGAGGTGGGTGGATCACCTGAGGCCAGAAGTTTGAGACCAGCCTGGACAACATGGCAAAACCTGTCTCTACTAAAAATACAAAAAAAATAGCTGGGGCCTGGTGGCTTGTGCCTGCAGTCCTAGCTATTTAAGAGGCTGAAACAAAAGAATCACTTGAACCCAGGAGGCGGAGTTTGCAGTGAGCCGAGATCACTGTACTCCACTGTACTCTAGCCTGGGTGACAGAGTGAGACTCTGTCTCAAAAATAAAAATAAAAATAAAATAAGTTTATTCTGTAACTGGCTCCATACTAGGTAGTTCACATGTGCTACATTTACATTGCATAATAATGTAATGAGACAGCCATTATTATTTGAATACTTATTTTACAAATGAGAATATCAATTTACAGATTATGATCCTTACTCAAGATTACATGTATTGTAAATAGCGTAATTCTTATCCACTGTCACACAAAAAATCTTTAGATACTACTAGATTCCACTTCTGCCTAGGGATAAAAATCAGTTATAACTTATCATAAAGGAATTTAATCCATTGAAGAGTATGAGGCTACCACAATTTCATGACCTTAACTGCAATCTAAGTAAGTGATTATTATGAATTGCTGTTCCTCGGTGTTTTCTCTGATAGTTTTGATTTTATATTTCACTTCAGAATCACATTCTAGTTCTTTCTCCACCTGAGATATACCATCTTGTGTTTTCCTCACTATATTCCAGAAATGCACACATGAGACTTTTGATAGATGCTGCTGATATGCACCAAGGAACTTAAAGTAAATTAAGGCAATTATACTTACAGTGTTTTAATGCAACTGGCACATCATTTTTCCAAAATCACCCTGACATAGCTCAAAGTTATAATGGCTACTGGAGTTTAAGCTCCTTAAGGGCCGGGGCTGTGTCTTATTCAGAAGAACCATTGTTGAGAGTATAAGCTCAATCAATATTTCCTTACTAATAAAATGGTAAAATTAAGATTTCTTTTCCCCATGTTCTTTAATAAAAATAGCTAGTCTTTATCATATGTTTGCCTGCATCAGGCACTTTTCCAAACACTTACTATGCATCTATCAATTCATTTAATTCTTACCAAACACTATGAATTTAGTAATCACCATCCTTTTACAGATATGTAGTGGAGACACAGAAAAATGAGTTAATTTTTCCAAGGTCATATAGCGATCAAATGTCAGAGCCAGGATTTGAACCCAGGAGGTCTGGCTTCAGAGTCCATTCACTGCATGACACAGCCTCTCTACTTAGTAATGACTGATTACTTCATCAGGAAGCAGGACACTGTAATACATAGTGATCAATTAATTACTCAGTAGTTCTGGTGCAGTGTCTGACAGCGAGGTGAAAGAGTTTGTCAGAATTGCCACTCTCTTATTGGGGTGTCCATACAAGAATTTTAGTTTGAAAAAACTGTATTTATTTATTTTCCCTTCTTTTGTTGCTAGGAAATGTAAAAGAGTTAACCTGAAGGTGGAAGGTGATGAACAAATACATTCACTCTGACCCAGCTTTGTCCAGGCTAAAAGGCTGCTGGTCAAGGGCCAAGTTTCCATTGGCTTCATTTGCAGCAAGAGTAAACATTATAGCTTCTTTTAAGGCTCATCCCACTGCCTGGGGCCAAAGGAGAAGGTTGATAAGGTGATGGGGAGGCAGAATCTTCATTTAAAGCCCATCTAGTTTCAAATTTGTAAGAGAGTGCTGGCTACTTTCATAAAGCTCAGTGCACTCATTGTGTTGAGCAGGAGTATGCTACACACCTGTTTCTTTGAAGTTTTATTAGAATACAGCCACCCTCATTCATTTACATATTGTCTGGCTGTTTTTGCATTATCCGAGTAGAATTAGTGGTTGTGACAAATACGGCCCACAAAGACTAAAATATCTACTATGTGGCCTTTTATAGAAAACATTTGCTGGTCTTGAGCCCATGCCTGGCTCTGGAGCCACATAATCAGTGCTAGGATCCCGGCTCTACCTTCCATTCACTGGGGGCATTAGACATAATGCCCAACCTATCAGAATTAGTTTCCCTCTTCTGTATAGTGGAATACAGATATTTACTTCTTAACTTTTCTACACATTAAGTGACTAGTATACCTTATTCCCTTAATATAATGGATGACATATAGTGAATACTCAGCAAATGCACAACTGTAGTTATTTTATAATCATTATTTTTACCTCACCATTGTTAAGCTTTACATTATTTTTTTTTCACTTAGTCAAATCCATAATTCCTAAAGTTAGAGGAAAAAAAATGGAAGCAGCTCCCTTTTGAATTAGACTTTGTATCAGGGCCAAATACTAATATTTATTCAACTGTCCACAAACTAGTAGCCCATAGCTGTCCTAAACTGTCATCTGTCTCTCTTTTCACAGGGAGAAACCAGAATGCAAATTTCCTAACCAGCATACATTGTTTTTCTGTATGTTTGTAAGCTTCTTGTAATTAGTCACTTCCTTGAAATGAATGAATGGATTGATCAGTTATCATAAGCATGACCTTGGTGGTTTCTAGGATTTCCTCCTATCTAGCAAGAAAAGATACACATATTAATAAGGTATGAGCTGTAAGTGACAAGGAGAGCTGTGAGGGATGTGTGGCCTGATGTACCAGAGAGTGGAATGAAATTCAGTCCCTGTGGTCCTTTAGGGGGTCAAAGAGCAAGCTGCAGACACAGTGGTTCTGCAGAGCTCTCGGTGGCTTTCAGCAAAGCTGCTAATGGAATAATGATAGTTCCTGACACAAAGCAGAAGGTGTTCTATTTTTAGGCAAGAGGAGTTATGCGCTAGGGATGATACAGATGCATTCTTATCTTAGAAGAAACTGAAAAATGCCTTCACTGTTTCCTAACACTTTATTGCCATATGTTAGATGATGGACTCCTGGAGAGGATCCACATAAAGTCCTAACAATAGTACCTGATATAGTTTGAATCTGTGTCCCCACCCAAATCTCACATTGAATTGTAATCCTCAGTATTGGAGGTGGGGCCAGGTGGGAGGTGACTGCATCATGGGGGTGTGTTTTCCCTCAGTGGTTTAGCAGCAACCCCTTGGTGCTGTCCTTGCAATAGAGAATGACTTTTGTGAGATCTGGCTGTTTAAAACTGTGTGGCACCTCACTGTCTCTCTTGCTCCTGTTCTGCCATTGTGACATGCCTATTCCCCCTTCACCTTCCACCATGGCTGTAAGTTTCCTGAGGTCTCTCCAGAACCTGAGAAGATGCCACCATCATGCTTCCTGTACATCCTGTGGAACCACGAGCCAATTAAACCTTTTTTCTTTATGAATTACCCAGTCTCAGGTATGTCTTCATAGCAATGCTAGAACAGTCTAATACGCTACCACTTATAAAAAATTTACTATGTACCTGGCAGTGTGCAAAGCACACTCTCTGGCACCAATCTAATGAAGAAATACTAATGTTGTTCCCATTTTGCAGATGAAAGTGGTATTTAGAGGAGTTAGGTAATTTTTATGTGTTAATGGTACAGTCTGGTCTCAAGTTCATTTCTGGCTGACTCCAGATTCCAAGCACAACTGGAAAAGAAGAATGGGATATAATTAGTTTAAACTCTCAGCTTCCAAATCCAGTTAGAGAAATGATTTCCTACCATTTCATTATTTGCAAGGCACATTGTACTCTGGTCCACAAACTGGAAATGAATAAAGCGGTCAAATATGATGATATTCCACTTCAGTGGAAAGATTCAGGTAACAGAATCTGGATTCTGAAGGTGAGCTACAAATGAAAGGCAGAGGAAGTTAGGGAATGATATTATGAAGAAATAGGAGTAGACAATGGTTTCAGGACAGTAGTTACTTTCAGGAAGGGCTGAGGAATATATCACAGAAATAGGATGTGCAAGAGTAGGTGCCACTTGGGTCTGCGAAGGCAGCTGCAAGGGAGTCAGGCAGCAGTTCAAAGAAACTCAACCACTGGGCTAGGTACTCTTGGGGCCAGGTGACAATTTTGGAAAGAGATTGACAAATCCCTCCTATACAGAAGGACTAGAGTCATCAACAGTTTGTCAAACCTAAGGATTAACTAAAATCTCAGTTATCAGAACAGAAATCCAATTACTCTGAGTATATTGTAACAAATAATGGAAAATAGACTAGCAAAAGTTTCAGAACAAAATATTTCAACAACTGTATGTTAACCACTTACCCTGTGGTAGGAATTAGGACTTTGGCATTAGGTCATATCTCTAAAATTTAACCTGCCTACAGTCATGTATGTGGTTTGGCTCCATTTAAAATGCATATCTAAACTGAAACAGAGACTGGTGACACATGTCAGTATTCAAATCTGAGAGCCATACAAGGCATTCATTCATCATTTACTCTTCCATTCACTCCTCTTTGAGAAAAGTGGTTGAATTCTCATATATACCAGGGAGTATGCCAACGGCTGGAACTACAAGGACAAATAGGATGTTGTTTCTATCCTTGAGGAACTCAGAGCATAAGGCAGAGGTTCTCAGGCCTCTGTGCACATAAGAATGACCTAGCACACAACTGAAAAATTCTGGGATCCAGATTGAGCATGTCAGGGTAAATGAACTTGGAATATACATGTTTACAAGTACTATAGGAAGGTCTGATCAATCTTATTTGAGGCTAACATCTGGGGAAATCTGATTTAGATAAATGAAAGTCTTTAGTGAGATTTTTTTCTTTGTAAACTGTCAGATTTCAGTGCAAAAGAGGGACAATCTAACATTTTTAGCTGCATTGAAATAAACTATATTACTTAGTGAGAAAGCAAATTATTTATTGCTAAATGTGTGCAACCAAGCCTAGATATTCACTGGCCTGAATTCTGTATAAGCGGTTGAATCCCATGTCTTGTGAAATGTTTCCAACACTGATATCTGTGCTTCTGTAACATCAAGGTTTAACTTACCTTAAGCTTTATACTTAAGTACAAAATAATATTTATGTTTATTTTAGTCAATTTATTTGTTTTGGTTGATAGTTCAGAGTTAATTCTTTCTCCTTCCTTCCTTTCTTCTGTGCTGTCCCAGCTATTGAGTCACTTGCCACTTTCTTACTACTATTGATACAGATGTTTCTTCTGAGAAATTTGTAGCCAAGATTTATATTGAATAATATTACTTGAATGTAATATTATTTTGAAAAATATTGGAGGCAGTATAAATTAAAGCGTTATTATTCAGCTTTACTCAAATGCTCAGGATCTCCTTTAATTATGTTAATATCTGTGTAAAGAAGGGAAAACTGGTATTATCATATCTCTGTTGCAGATGTTAGAGATAGGTCATAGCTACATAATTTCACGTGTGTCACAGTGTTTTCATTATCTATGGGTGAATAACAAAGCTGAATCTAAGCCGTAAAAGGGTGGCTTTAAAAAAAGATTTATTTTTTCTCATGATTCTGTAGATTGGTGGAGTGGTTTTTCTTCAGATTTCACCTGGGCTTCCTCAGGCAGCCACAGTTACCTGATGGATGACAAGGGTTGGGTGAAGCAGCTTAGATGATCAGCTTATCCCTTCGTCTATGGGTTTTTAATCCTGGCGTTTTTCACAGCAAGGTGGTCTCAGCTTTTGAAAAAGGGAAGAAGCTGCAATGGCTCTAGAGGCCTTGACTTGGAAGTCATACAATGTTACTTCCTCCACATACTATTTGTTAAAGCTAATTACAGTTCATCTCAAGTGCAAGAAGTGAAAAAGTAGGTTGCACATACTGATGAGACAAATGCCAAAGTCATAGTTCAAAGAGGCTTGTATGATAGAAATGGAAGAATATGGCTGTGTTTTGCAATTTACCACAATTGACTAGTAACCTTTGTAAATTTCTAGCTCTTTGGCCACAAATTATTCACATTTCTCTTATGTGCAAAATATACTCAACTCCATCACAGGACCCACAAATGTCTCATCCTAATTGCAGCATCAAGCTTGAAGGGCCCATATTGTCAGGTTCTTCAACTCTAGAAAAACATGTTCTTATATTAGGACCAACTTCTGCTTCCTGAAAGTAATTCTTTTATCCTGTTTTCTTCTGCTCTTGGCTCTGAGCTGTGGGCTTATGTCTGTGCCCACTAAGATATAATTAGTTTTCCATGTGTGTAGCTAGGTAGCTTTATCATCATGCTTTTTTCTTGTTGAAATCTGGAGAACTAGTGGCCTCTTCATTTTGAGTTCTATTTTTTTAGTCCAAGCTGGTACATATCCCATAAAAATTTTATGGGCTTTTTATGAATCTGATTGAGGTTAACTCTGCCCAAAAGCCATATCCATAATTCTTTGCATAATACACACAAAGTAAAAATTGCTACCTTGAATTTTTCATGTGAAGATTAATGAAGAATATATACATGAAGAATATAATAAATGTCTGGCACAAAAATATTACCACTCTCATCATCATCATCACAACAGCAACAATAATAAGAGAGACCTCAGGCTTAAGAAGAAAGATGGGGAAATAAATTCTCAGAAGGTTGTCTAAGATGGAAACTTGAGTTAAAAATGGGAAACAAGTTTGTTTCCTAGGGCAGGGGATACTGGGTCACAATGAAAGGAAACTAAAAATGACTACTCATAGGTCACCCAGGTTACTGAATTGGGCTCCATGCATTCCCTTGGCTAAGGACATAATGCACATGATAACTGGCTTCTAAGGGAGCTTGTGGAGGGTGAGGGATAGAAGGGAAAAATCAAGAGGGAGAAGTCAAGTATGGAAGATTAGGTGGGGGAGGGCATTAGGGAGTCAGTAAAAATATCAACACTAAAGAGAGCTTTTTCTTGGTCCATCTTGTTTCCATGTTAGGACCCTTTCCACAGGCATGCTGTTAAATTTTTATAGCTACCTCAATTATCAAGTGTAATAGCAGATCCTTCTAATTTCCTTCTTCACTTCCATTTATTAAATGGTAGGAAACAAGTATCCTGGTTAGGGAATATCAACAAGAATCTTTCCTCTACCTAAACAACCCACCAACCTCTCTTTTTTTGTTCTTAATTTCCACCTGAGGGCACAGATTTCATTCCAAAAGCACACATGGGTCCAGAGAACGAGTCTGTTAATCCCCTCTAGATGTACAAATTCTATAGCAAATGTAAATGGACTAGAAGAAGATTTCTTCTATGAAGAAACAGGGGTTGTTGTTGTTGTTGTTGTCTGTTGAGCTAGAATGACTATGCCTTTCTTTGGAGTTATCGTTTGGCAGATTTCCATTTGGGGATCACCATCATGTCAGTTTCTAGCTGCCTGGGTTGCAAGGTTGAGATTCCATGGCAGCTTTCTCACCTTTAATTTGGTTTATTGCTCAGAGCCTGTAAATTTATACTCATCATCATAATTATACCTTTTTAGCGTGAATTCTGTTTTTTCATAGAAAGCCCAAAAGAAATTATTCCAAAAGAAAAAAACGCAAGGATTAATTCTTCCTATAAATACATTTTGATATAACTCTATGAAGTGTGAAAATTGTTCCTATGGGCATTCTTTCCTGTTGATTTTTACATCTGTCCTATGCACTATGAAGTAGGTTGTGGGCATGTCTTCAATGATTCAATGTACAATTTGTTCTCCCGTAGCTATCCTACTCCCTACCAACTTTTCCATGCTTTGTTTTCTTAGCACTTTGATACTCTATCATAATATTTTTTTGGTTATTTATTGTCTGTCTCCTAGTTGCTACTATTCTTGCCTTCACTGGTAGAAGGTAAGGGATATTTTTGCTCTGGTATTGTCCAGAGGAAGCCTAAGCTTCCTTTTAATATTATTTTTCATCTTGGTGGGGATGGTATTATTACTAGTGGTGTGTAAGGTGCTTTATTATGTGCTTTCTGCACAAGTCTCATTTAATTCTTCTAACAAGAATTCAAGGCAGCTATTTCTATCCCCACTCCTTTACAAATGAAAAAACAAAACAAACAAAAAAAACAAAACAAAAAAACAAAACAAAACAAAAAAAGTAAGAGTAGGCAATTTGCTTTGTTCTTAGAGTATTGCCAATGTTAAGAAACGCACCTGGCACACAGTAGGTTCTCAATAAATATTTGTTAGAAGAATGCACACATAAGGTAGGAAAAAAAGTCATCTTTAGTGCCCCCACCCTCGGATTATTAAAAAAGAGGTGACTAGAAAGGGAAAAGTGCTAATTATAAACACAGCCACATTTTGAGGGGAGTAAGCTACAATATCGTAAATTTCCCTTTGTTCGACTGAGTGCCTTGATGGCTGGCTGAGTTACCTGCTGCTATGTGAGCCCTTCACCAGGATCCCCAAATCTTCTTGGAAAAGAAAGGAAGTACAGAGCAGCTAAGTGATTGCCAAAGTATGACCCAGACCAGTGAGTCAACTTAATGGCCAACTTAAGAAATCAGTTCCAAAATGGAATTTTGGAATGTAAGCACCCTGGAAATTTTAATTCCCTTTGAGGAATACTACAAGCAAGCCAGTCTAATTTCAACCTTAGCGAAGTGGAAGACATGAGCTAAAATAAATGTTACACATACCTGGCACAGAAAAACATCCTCTTCTTTCAAAAACAAAAGATTACATATGAATTATGTGTTTGCCATGATTTAAAGGGGAAATAGTTTTAATTAAAAATTAAAAACTGCTAAAATTTAGAATAAGAAACTAAAACGACACACATGCAAATATTAAAGACAGCTGTAATTTGAGAAGCTGTATGTCTTCGGCTGTTCAGGTTGCTATAACAAAATATTATAACTGGGTGCCTTACAAAGGATAGAAACTTATTTCTCACAATTCCGGAACCTAGGAAATCTAAGGTCAGAGCACCAGCAGATTTGGTGTCTAGTAAGGGCCTGCTTTCTGACTTATAAGATTGTGCCTTCTTGCTGTGTTTTCATACAGTGAAAAGGGCAGCGTTCTCTGGATCCTTTTTTGTAAGGATACTGATCCCATTCAAAAGAGTTCCATCATCATGACCCAATTACTTCCCAAAAGTCCCACTTCCTTTATCACTTTGGGGGTTAGGAGTTTAACATATGAATTCTGGGGAAACACAAACATTCAGACCACAGCAGTGTGTTAATGAAGACACAACATTAGGAAATGGAGAAGTAAGAAGTTATCCTTTTTTTCATTGATGATTATTTTCTTTCTCAGATGCCACATAATTTCTTTTTAACATTTAATCAAAATGTAAATTGGGAAAGAATTAAGATAAAAGTAACAAGAATAATTTATAGAGCCCAATCACACTGTGATGTCAATCCTCTGAGGGGGGACATTTAGGGATGAGGCAGCCAGTCATCTCTCAGAATATATTTACCAAGATGGTTAACATGGGGACATCATTATCAGTCCTGATTGCCGCTAACATGGATTTACAACTTTCCACGTTCTTGGCATATTTTAAAGACTAATACATGGTAGCAATGTTTAGTGATACAACTTCTTGCCTTATGAACACCTCTTCAAACTCTAAGGTCTATTTCAAAGATTATTTTTTCTGGGAAACATTCCCAATGTCCCTTTGTCTCTTTCTGGAAGGAGCAATTTTCCCATTCTGCTGGGTTCTCATACTACCTCTTACACATCTCTCTTTTGGCCCTAAACAATGTCTATCTGAAGTAGCATTTGTTATCTTCATTGAATTGTGTACTCTTTGAATGCCAGGAGTATACCATTTTCATCTATGCCGTGTGCTTCTTCCAATGTATACAGTTCGTTATCAACTGCTTAACACATAAAAGGAAAAAAGAATTAATAAATGAATCAATGAACGAAAAAATGGGGCTGGGGGCAGCAATACTGAGTGATGGGCAGGTATTGAATCAACTCTAGTTTACTGAAAAAGAAAAGTACAGAGGAGAAGTGTTAAAGTGGTCATACTTACAGCTAAAAATGTTTGGATGTCTACCATGCTTCATCTCTGATGGGTATTTTGCATACATAATCCTCATCCTTACAATCTCAAGTAGGTGATATCAGCCCCATTTTACAGTCAACTTGGTAGCAACCGTGAGAGGTATTTATTACTATCCTTACTTTACACATGAGTAAGTGGAGGCTTGTAGACTTCGTAGACTTGCCCAAAGTCACATGGCTGTTAAATGGCAGAGGCAGGATTTTAATGCAAGGCAATCCATCTGTAAAGATACAGTTAGTTATAAAATTAGGACAATAACCTATATTTTTTGACCTTAGTCCGTTATTTCCTGTTAACTATCATTCTCATTTTTGTGTTTCAAAAGTTATAGCAAGGTATTTAATAATCTCAAATATAATCATGTACATCAGGTATCCATATACATTGTGGAATTTGAAAGGAAAGTAAAACTCTATCTTGTTCTTCATTGTCTCTCCCAACAATTTGCCAATATATCTGTAATTCCCAGCATCATGGAAGGTGGTATTTCCCAAAATGGGTTCTGTGGGCTCCTAAGAGGTCTTCTGTGTTCAAATACTTCAGGAAATCTGGAGCCAAATAGAGTTAGATTCCTTTTTTAAGTATCCTGTGTGGGACTCCTTTGATATACTAATATACATGCAAATCTAAATCAGGTGATTAAGATATAGAGCACTTCTCAAATTGAGACATAGACACCATCCTCTTCCATTTTTTTTTTTCTAAGTATCACAAGAGTTTTGTTTCAAAAGATGCACTTATGAAACATGCTTGTTTAAGGCATTGCGACTCTGCAAACCAACAAATATTAACCTATTAGCCTCTGGAAGCCAACAAAAATATTAATCTATTAACCTATTGTACATAGACCCATAAGCTTTCACTAACAAGCCATGGCAGGAAATAACTATTTTCTGCAAAGAAATTTGGCCTAAGTGGATACTGGGTTGCTTAAGAATCAGTAGATCTATGGGCCTGGCATGGTGGCTCACTTCTGTAATCTCAGCACTTTGGGAGGCCAAGGCGGGCAGATCACGAGGTCAGGAGATCGAGGCCATCCTGGCTAACACGGTGAAGCGCCGTCTCTATTAAAAATACAAAAAAATTAGCTGGGCATGGTGGCGGACGCCTGTAGTCCCAGCTACTCGGGAGGCTGAGGCAGGAGAATGGCATGAACCCGGGAGGCAGAGCTTGCAGTGAGTGGAGATCACGCCACTGCACTCCAGCCTGGGCGACACAGCGAGACTCCATCTTCAAAATAAAAAAAGAAAGAGTCAGTAAATCTAGTTTATCATCTGAGTTCTGCCCCCCTTAGAGGTTGGGTGAACATGTTCAAGTTATTTTTCCCTCTACAAACTTCACTTTCCTCTTCAATAAAATGAATATAGCAGAAACTCTCATGTGAATATTGTGACTAAACAACAATAACAATAATAAAATTATTGAAAGAGCAACATTTGTTTTGTCCCTGCTATTATGAGGCCCTATTACCGTTAGTTTTTTCAGACAGCATCTTTTTAAATTTTCGCAGCAATCATGAGAAGGGTATTGTCCTCATTTTCCAGGTGAGCAGACTACAACTCAGAATTGTTACATAAGTTTCTCCAGATTACACACACCTAGTAGAAGGAGAAACCTAACTCAAATCCAATTCACTTGATGCCTTTACCTATGATTCACTAACTTCAAATTCCAAATCCAACTATTGCTATGATCAATAATAATAATGAGGAAAGCAAATTTTTGTTGATAGGCTCTGTGTGCCAGGCATTATTCTAAGTAGAGTATTTGTATTATTTAGTCATCACAATAATTGTATTTATGGAAATTTTTTGTAAACTTTGTATGCTGTTTAATTCCAACTTTTATTATGTATTATTTAAATAAAATTTAAATTAATTAATTATCATTGTTTCTAATTTAAATAATTAAATAATAACATTCAATTAAAATTTCTTTTTTTTTTGGAGACAGGACCTCATTCTGTCACCCAGGCTGGAGCGCAGTGGTGTGATCTCAGCTCACTACAACCTCCGCCTCCTGAGCTCAACCAATCCTCCTACCTCAGCCTTCTTAGTAGCTGAGGCTACAGGTACCTGCCACCATCCCTAGCTAGTTTTTTTTTTTTTTTTTTTTTTTTTTTTAAATAAAGATGGGGTTTTGCCATGTTGCCTAGGCTGATCTAAAACTCATGAACTAAAGTGAGCCATCTGCCTTGGCCTCTCAAAAATGCTGGGATTATGAGCATGAGCCACCATACCCAGTCATTTCCCAAAATTTTAATTTAAACAGTTCTGTAGAATATTAAAGCTAAATGGGATGTCAGAGGTTATTTAATCTTCTTCTTATTCTTTAGACTATCGTTTAATTTTTTAAACCACTATGGGCATACTGCTTGGACTGAATTGTTTATAATTCTAGACTTTACCTTGATCAAACTGTTTAGAAAGCATATCTCCTAATGACATTTATTTTATTTGTTTATTTTTTAAGTTTGAAGTTGTTTAATTAGAAGAGCACAAGGCTTAATGAACTGATAGCCCCAAATTACTTTTAAATAATCTTGTGGTCAAATAGCAAGCCCTCTGATGGTGTATGTGGAAAAATAGTATTTCTAATTTTCACTGATTTTTTTTTTAGGTTTATTTCAATAGGTTTTGGGGGTACAAGTGGTTTTTTGTTACATGGATGAATTATATAGTGGTGAATTCTGAGATTTTAGGGCACCTGTCTCCTGACTAGTGTACATTGTGCTTAATGTGTAGTTTTTTATCTCCAGCCCCACTTCCACTGTCATCTTTCTGAATCTCTAAAGTCCGTTATATTACTCTGTATACCTTTGCATAACTCACAGCTTAACCTCCACTCATAATTGAAAACATACAGTTTTTGGTTTTCCACTCTTGTTTACTTCACTTACAATAATGACCTCCAGCTCTATGCAAGTAGCTACAAAATACATATTTTGTTCCTTTTTATAGCTGAGTAGTATTCCATGGTGTATATATACCATATTTTCTTTTTTTTTTAAATTTATTTATTATTATAATACTTTAAGTTGTAGGGTACATGTGCATAACGTGCAGGTTTGTTACATATGTATACTTGTGCCATGTTGGTGTGCTGCACCCATCAACTCGTCATTTACATCAGGTATAACTCCCAATGCAATCCCTCCCCCCTCCCCCCTCACCATGATAGGCCCCGGTGTGTGATGTTCCCCTTCCTGAGTCCAAGTGATCTCATTGTTCAGTTCCCACCTATGAGTGAGAACATGCGGTGTTTGGTTTTCTGTTCTTGTGATAGTTTGCTAAGAATGATGGTTTCCAGCTGCATCCATGTCCCTACAAAGGACACAAACTCATCCTTTTTGATGGCTGCATAGTATTCCATGGTGTATATGTGCCACATTTTCTTAATCCAATCTGTCACTGATGGACATTTGGGTTGATTCCAAGTTTTTGCTATTGTGAATAGTGCCGCAATAAACATACGTGTGCATGAGTCTTTATAGCAGCATAATTTATAATCCTTTGGGTATATACCCAGTAATGGGATGGCTGGTTCATATGGTACATCTAGTTCTAGATCCTTGAGGAATCACCATACTGTTTTCCATAATGGTTGAACTAGTTTACAATCCCATCAACAGTGTAAAAGTGTTCCTATTTCTCCACATCCTCTCCAGCACCCGTTGTTTCCTGACTTTTTAATGATCGCCATTCTAACTGGTGTGAGATGGTATCTCATTGTGGTTTTGATTTGCATTTCTCTGATGGCCAGTGATGATGAGCATTTTTTCATGTGTCTGTTGGCTGTATGAATGTCTTCTTTGGAGAAATGTCTGTTCATATCCTTTGCCCACTTTTTGATGGGGTTGTTTGTTTTTTTCTTGTAAATTTGTTTGAGTTCTTTGTAGGTTCTGGATATTAGCCCTTTGTCAGATGAGTAGATTGCAAAAATTTTCTCCCATTCTGTAGGTTGCCTGTTCACTCTGATGGTAGTTTCTTTTGCTGTGCAGAAGCTCTTTAGTTTAATGAGATCCCATTTGTCAATTTTGGCTTTTGCTGCCGTTGCTTTTGGTGTTTTAGACATGAAGTCTTTGCCCATGCCTATGTCCTGAATGGTACTACCTAGGTTTTCCTCTAGGATTTTTATGGTATTAGGTCTAACATTTAAGTCTCTAATCCATCTTGAATTAATTTTCGTATAAGGAGTAAGGAAAGGATCCAGTTTCAGCTTTCTACTTATGGCTAGCCAATTTTCCCAGCACCATTTATTAAATAGGGAATCCTTTCCCCATTTCTTGTTTCTCTCAGGTTTGTCAAAGATCAAATGGCTGTAGATGTGTGGTATTATTTCTGAGGACTCTGTTCTGTTCCATTGGTCTATATCTCTGTTTTGGTACCAGTACCATGCTGTTTTGGTTACTGTAGCCTTGTAGTATAGTTTGAAGTCAGGTAGCGTGATGCCTCCAGTTTTGTTCTTTTGACTTAGGATTGTCTTGGAGATGCGGGCTCTTTTTTGGTTCCATATGAACTTTAAAGCAGTTTTTTCCAATTCTGTGAAGAAACTCATTGGGAGCTTGATGGGGATGGCATTGAATCTATAAATTACCTTGGGCAGTATGGCCATTTTCATGATATTGATTCTTCCTATCCATGAGCATGGTATGTTCTTCCATTTGTTTGTGTCCTCTTTGATTTCACTGAGCAGTGGTTTGTAGTTCTCCTTGAAGAGGTCCTTTACATCCCTTGTAAGTTGGATTCCTAGGTATTTGATTCTCTTTGAAGCAATTGTGAATGGAAGTTCATTCCTGATTTGGCTCTCTGTTTGTCTGTTACTGGTATATAAGAATGCTTGTGATTTTTGCACATTCATTTTGTATCCTGAGACTTTGCTGAAGTTGCTTATCAGCTTAAGGAGATTTTGGGCTGAGACAATGGGGTTTTCTAAATATACAATCATGTCATCTGCAAACAGGGACAATTTGACTTCTTCTTTTCCTAACTGAATACCCTTGATTTCTTTCTCTTGCCTGATTGCCCTAGCCAGAACTTCCAACACTATGTTGAATAGGAGTGGTGAGAGAGGGCATCCCTGTCTTGTGCCGGTTTTCAAAGGGAATGTTTCCAGTTTTTGCCCATTCAGTATGATACTGACTGTGGGTTTGTCATAAATAGCTCTTATTATTTTGAGGTACGTTCCATCAATACCGAATTTATTGAGCGTTTTTAGCATGAAGGGCTGTTGAATTTTGTCAAAAGCCTTTTCTGCATCTATTGAGATAATCATGTGGTTCTTGTCTTTGGTTCTGTTTATATGCTGGATTATGTTTATTGATTTGCGAATGTTGAACCAGCCTTGCATCCCAGGGATGAAGCCCACTTGATTATGGTGGATAAGCTTTTTGATGTGCTGCTGAATCCGGTTTGCCAGTATTTTATTGAGGATTTTTGCATCAATGTTCATCAGGGATATTGGTCTAAAATTCTCTTTTTTTGTTGTGTCTCTGCCAGGCTTTGGTATCAGGATGATGTTGGCCTCATAAAATGAGTTAGGGAGGATTCCCTCTTTTTCTATTGATTGGAATAGTTTCAGAAGGAATGGTACCAACTCCTCCTTGTACCTCTGGTAGAATTCAGCTGTGAATCCATCTGGTCCTGGACTTTTTTGGTTGGTAGGCTATTAATTATTGCCTCAATTTCAGAGCCTGCTATTGGTCTATTCAGGGATTCAACTTCTTCCTGGTTTAGTCTTGGAAGAGTGTAAGTGTCCAGGAAATTATCCATTTCTTCTAGATTTTCCAGTTTATTTGCGTAGAGGTGTTTATAGTATTCTCTGATGGTAGTTTGTATTTCTGTGGGGTCGGTGGTGATATCCCCTTTATCATTTTTAATTGCATCGATTTGATTCTTCTCTCTTTTCTTCTTTATTAGTCTTGCTAGTGGTCTGTCAATTTTGTTGATCTTTTCAAAAAACCAACTCCTGGATTCATTGATTTTTTGGAGAGTTTTTTGTGTCTCTATCTCCTTCAGTTCTGCTCTGATCTTAGTTATTTCTTGCCTTCTGCTAGCTTTCGAATGTGTTTGCTCTTGCTTCTCTAGTTCTTTTAATTGAGATGTTAGAGTGTCGATTTTAGATCTTTCCTGCTTTCTCTTGTGGGCATTTAGTGCTATAAATTTCCCTCTACACACTGCTTTAAATGTGTCCCAGAGATTCTGGTATGTTGTATCTTTGTTCTCATTGGTTTCAAAGAACATCTTTATTTCTGCCTTCATTTCGTTATGTACCCAGTAGTCATTCAGGAGCAGGTTGTTCAGTTTCCATGTAGTTGAGCGGTTTTGATTGAGTTTCTTAGTCCTGAGTTCTAGTTTGATTGCACTGTGGTCTGAGAGACAGTTTGTTATAATTTCTGTTCTTGTACATTTGCTGAGGAGTGCTTTACTTCCAATTACGTGGTCAATTTTGGAGTAAGTACGATGTGGTGCTGAGAAGAATGTATATTCTGTTGATTTGGGGTGGAGAGTTCTATAGATGTCTATTAGGTCTGCTTGCTGCAGAGATGAGTTCAATTCCTGGATATCCTTGTTAACTTTCTGTCTCGGTGATCTGTCTAATGTTGACAGTGGAGTGTTGAAGTCTCCCATTATTATTGTATGGGAGTCTAAGTCTCTTTGTAAGTCTCTAAGGACTTGCTTATGAATCTGGGTGCTCCTGTATTGGGTGCATATATATTTAGGAAGTTAGCTCTTCCTGTTGAATTGATCCCTTTACCATTATGTAATGGCCTTCTTTGTCTCTTTTGATCTTTGATGGTTTAAAGTCTGTTTTATCAGAGACTAGTATTGCAACCCCCGCTTTTTTTTGTTCTCCATTTGCTTGGTAAATCTTCCTCCATCCCTTTATTTTGAGCCTATGTATGTCTCTGCATGTGAGATGGGTCTCCTGAATACAGCAGACTGATGGGTCTTGACTCTTGATCCAGTTTGCCAGTCTGTGTCTTTTAATTGGAGCATTTAGTCCATTTACATTTAAGGTTAAGATTGTTATGTGTGAACTTGATCCTGCCATTATGATATTAACTGGTTATTTTGCTCGTTAGTTGATGCAGTTTCTTCCTAGCCTCAATGGTCTTTACATTTTGGCATGTTTTTGCAATGGCTGGTACCGGTTGTTCCTTTCCATGTTTAGTGCTTCCTTCAGGGTCTCTTGTAAGGCAGGCCTAGTGGTGACAAAATCTCTAGCATTTGCTTATCTGTAAAGGATTTTATTTCTCCTTCACTTAGGAAACTTAGTTTGGCTGGATATGAAATTCTGGGTTTAAAATTCTTTTCTTTAAGATGTTGAATATTGGCCCCCACTCTCTTCTGGCTTGGAGAGTTTCTGCCGAGAGATCTGCTGTTAGTCTGATGGGCTTCCCTTTGTGGGTAACCCGACCTTTCTCTCTGGCTGCCCTTAAGATTTTTTCCTTCATTTCAACTTTGGTGAATCTGGCAATTATGTGTCTTGGAGTTGCTCTTCTCGAGGAGTATCTTTGTGGCGTTCTCTGTATTTCCTGGATTTGAATGTTGGCCTGCCCTACTAGGTTGGGGAAGTTCTCCTGGATGATATCCTGAAGAGTGTTTTCCAACTTGGTTCCATTTTCCCCCTCACTTTCAGGCACCCCAATCAGACGTAGATTTGGTCTTTTTACATAATCCCATACTTCTTGCAGGCTTTGTTCATTTCTTTTTCTTCTTTTTTCTTTTGGTTTCTCTTCTCGCTTCATTTCATTCATTTGATCCTCAATCGCTGATACTCTTTCTTCCAGTTGATCGAGTCAGTCACTGAAGCTTGTGCATTTGTCACGTATTTCTCGTGTCATGGTTTTCATCTCTTTCATTTCGTTTAGGACCTTCTCTGCATTAATTACTCTAGCCATCAATTCTTCCACTTTTTTTTCAAGATTTTTAGTTTCTTTGCGCTGGGTACGTAATTCCTCCTTTAGCTCTGAGAAATTTGATGGACTGAAGCCTTCTTCTCTCATCTCGTCAAAGTCATTCTCCGTCCAGCTTTGATCCGTTGCTGGCGATGAGCTGCGCTCCTTTGCCGGGGGAGATGCGCTCTTATTTTTTGAATTTCCAGCTTTTCTGCCCTGCTTTTTCCCCATCTTTGTGGTTTTATCTTCCTCTGGTCTTTGATGATGGTGATGTACTGATGGGGTTTTGGTGTAGGTGTCCTTCCTGTTTGATAGTTTTCCTTCTAACAGTCAGGACCCTCAGCTGTAGGTCTGTTGGAGATTGCTTGAGGTCCACTCCAGACCCTGTTTGCCTGGGTATCAGCAGCAGAGGCTCAGTTGAAAATGCAGAAATCACCGGTCTTCTGTGTCGTTCGCGCTGGGAGTTGGAGACTGGAGCTGTTCCTATTCCGCCATCTTGCTCCGCCCCCCCTTATACCATACCTTCTTTATCCACCCATTAGTCAATGGTGCTTAGTTTGGTTTCACATCTCTCTCTTTTTTTTTTTTTTTTTGAAATGAAGCTTTGCTCTTGCTGCTCAGGTTGGAGTGCAATGGTGCGATCTCGGCTCACCGCAACCTCTGCCTCCTGGATTCAAGTGATTCTCCTGCCTCAGCCTCCTGAGTAGCTGGGATTACAGGCATGCACCACCACGCCCGGATAATTTTTATATTTTTAGTAGAGATGGGGTTTCTCCATGTTGGTCAGGCTGGTCTTGAACTCCTGACCTCAGGTGATCCACCCGCCTCGGCCTCCCAAGTGCTGGGATTACAGGCGTGAGCTACCACGCCCAGCCTGGTTTCACACCTTTGCAATTGTGAATTGTGCTGTTATAAATAAATACATGCAAGTGTCTTTTTAATATAATGTCTTCTTTTCCTTTGAGAAGATGCCCAGTAGTGGAATTGCTGGATAGGATGGTGGATCTAATTTAGCTCTTTAAGGAATCTCCATACTGTTTTCCATAGAGGTTGTACTAATTCACATTTCCATCAGCAGTGTATAAGCATTCCCTTTCCCCCACATCCACACCAACATCTATTGTTTTTTGACATTTTAATAATGGCTATTAATGAAATTTATTTTAAAAGACACATAGAGCAGCAAACAATTACCAGATATTACCCAAAATGCTGGAAAATAAGTTTTAACTTGAAATAAGACAGGCACCTTTTTTTGTGTGTATTTACCCAGGAGTAGACATAACAGGGACTCGTTGCTCTCAAAGACTAGTCTTTGGTAGCATGTACTCAGTTAGAAAACTTGTGGATGAGTTTGTGACACAATAAAAAGGACAGGGCTTTAGGTGTCAGGAAAATTGAATCTTAAGTCATATTCTGCCACTGGCTTATTCTGTGTCTTTGTCTTTAATAAAACAGTTATTAATTCATGCCATACATATTTATTGAGCAACTGCTAAGTGTAAGGCCCTATGCTACAAAATGATGTAAAAGATGAGCAAAAATTGAAATAGACACTTGACCTTGGGGAACTGGCCTTATGAGGTTAATCTGTGACACACAGCACCCATAGATAATGTGTCTGGCACATGGCAGAAGCTCAATACACTGTATTTTCTTTTCCATTTCTTAGGACAGAAACTTCACTTTTCTTATTGTCAATGTCTTCATCTAAAAAATAAAAATGACAAGGTATCAGGACTGGCATCATGGAGAGGATGATTTTCAAGATTTCTTCTGGTTCCAAACTTCACATATTCATTAATTCCAGGATAATAATTGGGCACAGATGCAATATTTAAGGTGCTTGTGGTGGGTGTAGCTCTGCAATAAGAAAATAAGAAGTTGCTTTTTCTGTTTAATTTTTACTTCACTGTTCTATTTTAATACCATGAATTATAAATCCATGCAATATGCAATCCAGTTTACTAGCTTACCTTGTGAAGAATCCAGTTTGAGACTTGCATACAAAGTGAACTATTGCCGAAAACATTCCATGAACCAAATCCACCTCCCGCTGTTGTCTCTTGCAGGTGTCCCAGACTCAAGCTGTGCTCAGCCTTCATCAGAGGTAAGATATGAATTTCATTTTCTGTCCAGAAGCAAACTTACTTAAAAAGCATTTCATTTCTTCGTGATGAGCTTTTGTATATAAACCCTAACAATTTTTCCACGTCAGGCCACAGTAGGAATGCAATTCAAGGTTGGTATGAAAAATACATCTCTTTGCCTTGAATATAATCAGAATTCAAGTGTTGTCATCTGAGTCAAGGCAAAAAGGAGCTACTGCTTACTGCAGTATTATATACCATTTTAAATAATTTGGTTTTAAGTGATTGAATTTTTTAATTTCTTATGTGGCCTGACATATTTAAAGGGACTGGTTATCTGTCATTTCTCAGAGAAAATTGTCTGCCTAAAAAGTTTTGGGGTAAAAAAATTGTCTGCCTGAAAAGTTCTGCCTAAAAGTCTGAATTCTGGTGACAGAATTTTCTCCTTAGCTAGTCATTCAAACTCTATAATTGGAGAGAACTTTTTGAGATTTTGGTCAATGGATGCTGCTTTCATCAGTTTCTAGATCTGAAAAACTTTGCTACTAACTTATTTGAAATGTTGAGGCAATAATGCCATATCTAAGTAATTGTAATAGCGTCTCACATTAAGGTGTGTAAAGTTTTTAACTCAGAAAATCCCTTACAATAACCCTGTGAAATAGTCAAAGATTATCATTGCCATTCCTCTGGTTTTTAAAAAGTTAGAAATTAAAGAATGAGCAAAATAGAATTCAATTTTTATACTTTACAGAGCTCATGTTGCAAACTTTAAAAAGTCTGCTTTAACTCCTGTCGCAGTTTATAATTATTATTTAATAATGTTTCTTTCCAGATTGTAAGCTTATTGAGGTCAAGATCCCTCTGTATGTCTTTATATCCATAGAGCCTGGTACACTGGCTGGTTCATTGCTGTTGTTCAAATGTACGTTAAATCTCATCATAACACATGGATAGTTTTGACTTGGTTGATAAAGTTTGACTCAACTTGAACAGGTTGAAGATTGTTATGCATACAAAATTGCTGAAAAATAGGAACATAAAAGATTGAGGGAACCTTGCTGTCACATCTAGAACTTGTTTCAATAACTTGTCAAATGATTCAAGGATTCATGGCCGCCTTTGATTTATTCATTCTGATTAATTCAGTCACTAATTTATAATATATTTATTGGGTGCCTATTATTTATCATATACATTATTAGAACTTGAGTAAGCTGCTTTCTCTCTTCTGCTTAGACCTGTTTTTCTTCATTGACATCCTGGGTTATTATCTTAACCCCTACCTGAACTTTGAATGATAAGTGAATTTCAGAACTTCTCATGCCTCCTTATTTCTTGCTGTAAAATAGAAATTATGATTCATGCACTTGTTCTTTAGGGAGAGAGATGACTAAGGAGCAATTACTTTGAGATAAATGTTTTGATGACAGGCAAGTGGAAAGCAGAATGAGTTCATGATGGATCACCTCATTTCTAAGAGAAAGAAATGATTTTTGGAACTGAGTGATATAGATTGGCCCTCTGCTTTTGTCAAGGTCCCAAGACTGTTCCTCTTTCTTCCTCTGTCTTTTCCTTAGGAGATACCATTTAGGTTTCTTCTCCTCAGTAGGCCACAACTCTTTTTTTTTTTTTTTTTTTTTTTTTTTTTTTTGAGACGGGGTCTCGCTCTGTCGCCCAGGCTGGAGTGCAGTGGCCAGATCTCAGCTCACTGCAAGCTCCGCCTCCCGGGTTCCCGCCATTCTCCTGCCTCAGCCTCCCGAGTAGCTGGGACCACAGGCGCCGCCACCTCGCCCGGCTAATTTTTTGTGTTTTTAGTAGAGACGGGGTTTCGCCATGTTAGCCAGGATGGTCTCGATCTCCTGACCTTGTGATCCGCCCGTCTCGGCCTCCCAAAGTGCTGGGATTACAGGCTTGAGCCACCGCGCCCGGCCTACTCTTTTTTCATTTCTTTTTTCTCTTGTTCCTAACACTTATTTACTGGTCTCTGCTACTCCAGCCTGTTCCTGTTCTACCTAATACAAGAACACTCCAAACATAGCCATGACCTTGACCAGTACCTGTTCATAATCATTCAATGTCTCCCGTTGTCCAAACCTATTAGACTTTCAATGCCTTCTACTTTCAGGCCACTCTACCTTTATAAAAATTATTTCCCATAACTTCCTTTGCATCTATCTCAAATAGATCACTTATTATTCTATGTTCTATATTCGCTTAGGAGAGGCTCCTATGTCTTTGTTCATTTTAAGCCTGTGATGACCTTTCTCTCTACCTTCTCTGAATCCAAATTCTACCCAAGCTCAAAGACTCAATAACTATTTCAACTCTTTTCTTGAATCATTCTTGATCTCCCAAACTAAAATAATTTTTCTCCTCTCTTTGAACACCAAATTCCAAAGTGCTTTACCTGTAACTGTCTTATAACACTTACGAATTTTGATAAAACACAATGATTCATGTAGAGTATGATAAAATTCTAATCAGTTGTACAAGTTTATTTGTATTTCTAGACTTTTTCTTTATGAGGAGGTAAATGTTTTATTCCTTATTGTATTTATTATATTTACAGTTTACATTGGGGGTGGGCATTATTTTTTGAAAGAATAAATGAATGAATGAAATATTGAATGAATGAATGAATGAATAAGGTACCTCTAGAGGACTGTCTAAGCACTCCCTTTCTGCCCCATCTTCCCTAATGCCACAGTCAGTGAATAGTAGAACACTACTTTTCATAAAACAATCAGATTGTTGACAATCTCAATTATTTAAATACAGCAAAAAATCTGAAATTAAGTGAAAAATTTCTCTGAGCAGCAAGAAAAATAGCAGTCACAAGCTTATTTAAGTTGGTGCACATTCTCAAGCTAGCTGGCGCTTATTTGGTTAGTATTAGGTGTTAACTTGGGTTACTATTTTAATGAGCTTAGTTATTTAGTTGCCATAGAAACTAATGGCAATAAGAAGGGGCCATAAGGGAAAAGAAAGAATAAAAGCAAATAGTGTGACATATCACATTAGCCTGGAGAGCATTGCTGTTGCAGTGTTACAGCTCTGAGAAATAATTCAATAATATTTATCAAATACAGTTTATCATATATTTGTGTTTTTATCATGATAGAAATATTTCCATCAAAAAATGGCCCACAAAAGTTGTTAGTTTTTTAAAGGGGTCAGCCTCAGTCATCTAGACCTGACAATTGTAAGAATTCCTTACTGTAAAGCATTTTGATATGTTCAAATGACTTTAATATAAAAACCATGAATGGTAAATATTATTTCCAATTTAATAAAGTAAGAAGAGAGGCTCAAATAGATTGTATAATTTGGTGAAAAAGTGATAAATTAGGCTGGGCACGATGGCTCATGCCTGTAATCCCAGCACTTTGGGAGACTGAGGCAGGTGGGTCACCTGAGGTCAGGAATTCAAGACCAGCCTGACCAACATGGTGAAACCCCATCTCTACTAAAAAAAAGAAAAAAAAAAAAGCCATGTGTAGTGGAAGACACCTGTAATCTCAGCTACTCGGGAGTCTGAGGCAGGAGAATCCCTTGTACCCAGAAGATGCAGGTTACAGTGAGCCAAGACTGTGCCATTGAACTCCAGCCTGAGCAACAACAGCGGAACTCTGTCTTAAAAAAAAAAAAAAAATCATAAATTAGTTATGTGACTATCAAGATTTAAATACATAAATTCTGTACCCCCCATTTTTAATTCATTCTGTATTATTATGACACTTATATTCCATATTGCTTCTCTTAATGCTTTTGAAAAAATTGATATAATTCTCTTTTGGGTCAAATCTGCAAAATGACAGCTTGGCTGGAAACCACCTGGTGGTGTGATCATTTCCAAGACCACTTAAATTTTAAGGTTACTTAAGAAAGTCACCTGCCTTAGTCCAGAGCTGTATCCTGAAAGCTGCTGTATCTGATGCCATGAGTTATTAATTTCAGATGTCTGTTTTGTGCTTTGGGCATTATCCAACTTCTAGTACATGTATCTCTTTGCCTAAGGGCTTTTTCCAGAAAATGACTCTGCCATGGACAGTAGGCTAGAAATGCTGGGTAATTAGTGCCCTCAACCAATTACTGAAGCCAGTGAGCATATAAATATGTTAACTCCCTTCATCTTTAAGTGATATATCATCATTTCCTAGAAATTCCCTACAGAATAGCTTTAGCCACCCAGCATGGTTGCTGATTTAACTCAGCTTGTATTTACTACCTTCCCTCCTCATATCACTTTCTGGTGTCCTTGAAGGTTATCTCTGCACTTCTCACACAAATTTCTTGCACTCAAATCCTTGTTTAGGTCTACTTTTGAAGGAACCCACAAGAAGACATACATATCTGGAAGAATTATTATGCTTAAAGTACATCACTTCACCTATAACTCATAATAAGGAGTAATACTATAACAATAACTGATACTTTTGAGGTTTATCATGTGACAGTCACAATTTGAAGTGTTTTAAAGTTTTACCTTATTTAATTATCATAACAGCCTTATGAGATAGAAACTAGTACTGTCCCCATTTTAAAGGAAAAAAAGCTGAGGTTTGGAGAGAGTAAGTAGCTTAACTAAGGTCATTCAGCTTGGCAGTGATA